GACAGCGACCTGTCTTGGCGGTGCCTCTGTTGTCAATATGAACTTGATGACTACCGCACGGCCTGACGGATATTGTGCGGTCTATCTCGTGTGTCAATGATTATTTTCAATGCCAATAGATATCTCAGCGTGAATCCTCGTGTATTCCTATAGACCAACAGCGAGACTTTCGACACAATGCATGAACTCTGCCCCTACAAGGGCCTCAGTGTATTTAAAACATGAAAAACATACAGCAACAATGATTGTGCTTTCTCTTGTCTGCTTGTATCCAGTGTTACAGTTGATGCATATGCCCGACCTGTGGGGGACTCGTTAACTTGCGTCACGGATACTTTGGCACTCTGATGGTTTTAACTCTCATCTCTGCTACTTCTAATCCCGAAAGATGACCTAGGCACACGACAATGTTAGATGGAATGGTTCAATACATGAAAACGAAGCCACACGTTTGCAAACAGTTACGACAATGAGTAGATCCTCATGTGTCAAACAGTTACGACAATGAGTAGATCCTCATGTGTCAAACAGTTACGACAATGAGTAAATCCTCATGTGTCAAACAGTGACGACAATGAGTAGATCCTCATGTGTCAAACAGTGACGACAATGAGTAGATCCTCATGTGTCAAACAGTGACGGACAATGAGTAGATCCTCATGAGTCAAACAGTGACGACAATGAGTAGATCCTCATGTGTCAAACAGTGACGACAATGAGTAAATCCTCATGTGTCAAACAGTGACGACAATGAGTAGATCCTCATGTGTCAAACAGTGACGACAATGAGTAAATCCTCATGTGTCAAACAGTGACGACAATGAGTAAATCCTCATGTGTCAAACACAGGAGAGCAAGACACCAAATGCTGGTCTATCGACTTATGAGATGGGAGATTAGTTCACATCCAAGCCTTGAGTGGGGCGCACCTGTGTCACATGACTAATGTCATCTGTAACATGTTGCCTAAGTGCCGCTGGAGCCATACACACAACATGGCTCAGGTTGTTGGTCTAAACACAACATATCCCAGAAAGGGGGGGGGGGGGCAGGGGAATGTGATAACCGCTATGCTGGAGGGTGTTAGAAACATGGAGAAAATGTTTGATGGTTTGTCGGATCGACGCCGTACCGGACATGTGGTTTTAACATATGGTTGTGAACCATGGACAATTAATAAATAAGCCAAAGAAAATTTTGAGACATCGGAGCTATGCTTTGACATAAGATACCTTAGAATGAATTCCTTGGACAGTCAAAAAAGGGAAATCTATATTTTTTTGTTGTTGTTGTTGTTAAGGCGAAGACTTGAAGACAATTTCTTACAAACATCAGGAAGAGAGTCACCTTTTCTTCAGGTCATGTTATGAGAAAAGGGAAACTGGAGCATACTGTTACCACTGGAAAGATCTTACTAGAGCATGCTGTTACCACTGGAAAAGATCTTGGAGCATGCTTGTTACCACTGGGAAGATCTTGGAGCATGCTATTACCACTGGAAAGATCTTGGAGCGTGCTGTTACCACTGGAAAGATCTTGGAGCATGCTATTACCACTGGAAAGATCTTGGAGCATGCTGTTACCACTGGAAAGATCTTGGAGCATGCTGTTACCACTGGAAAGATCTCGGAGCATGCTGTTAACACTGGAAAGATCTCGGAGCATGCTGTTACCACTGGAAAGATCTCGGAGCATGCTGTTACCACTGGAAAGATCTCGGAGCATGCTGTTACAACTGGAAAGATCTCGGAGCATGCTGTTAACACTGGAAGGATATTGAAGCATGCTGTTACCACTGGAAAGATTTGAAGCATGCTGTTCCCACTGGAAAGATCTTGGAGCATGCTGTTACGACTGGAAAGATTTGAAGCATGCTGTTACCACTGGAAAGATCTTGGAGCATGATGTTACCACTGGAAGGATCTTGAAGCATGCTGTTACCACTGGAGAGATCTTGGAGCATGCTGTTACCACTAGAAAGATCTTGGAGCATGCTGTTACCACTGGAAGTATCTTGGAGCATGATGTTACCACTGGAGAGATCTTGGAGCATGCTGTTACCACTAGAAAGATCTTGGAGCATGCTGTTACCACTGGAAGTATCTTGGAGCATGCTGTTACCACTGGAAGTATCTTGGAGCATGCTGTTACCACTGGAAAGATCTTGGAGCATACTGTTACCACTGGAAGTATCTTGGAGCATGCTGTTACCACTGGAAAGATCTCGGAGCATACTTTTACCACTGGAAGTATCTTGGAGCATGCTGTTACCACTGGAAAGATCTTGGAGCATGCTGTTACCACTGGAAAGATCTCGGAGCATACTGTTACCACTGGAAGTATCTTGAAGCATGCTGTTACCACTGGAAAGATCTTGGAGCATGCTGTTACCACTGGAAAGATCTTGGAGCATGCTGTTACCACTGGAAAGATCTCGGAGCATACTGTTACCACTAGAAAGATCTTGGAGCATGATGTTACCACTGGAAGGATCTTGAAGCATGCTGTTACCACTGGAGAGATCTTGGAGCATGCTGTTACCACTAGAAAGATCTTGGAGCATGCTGTTACCACTGCTTGGAGCATGCTGTTACCACTGGAAAGATCTTGGAGCATGCTGTTACCACTGGAAGTATCTTGGAGCATGCTGTTACCACTGGAAAGATCTTGGAGCATGCTGTTACCACTGGAAAGATCTTGGAGCATGCTGTTACCACTGGAAGTATCTTGGAGCATGCTGTTACCACTGGAAAGATCTTGGAGCATGCTGTTACCACTGGAAGTATCTTGGAGCATGCTGTTACCACTGGAAAGATCTCGGAGCATACTGTTACCACTAGAAAGATCTTGGAGCATGCTGTTACCACTGGAAGGATCTTGGAGCATGCTGTTACCACTAGAAAGATCTCGGAGCATGCTGTTACCACTGGAAGTATCTTGAAGCATGCTGTTACCACTGGAAAGATCTTGGAGCATGCTGTTACCACTGGAAAGATCTTGGAGCATACTGTTACCACTGGAAGGATCTTGAAGCATGCTGTTACCACTTGAAAGATCTTGGAGGATGCTGTTACCACTGGAAGGATCTTTGGAGCATGATGTTAAAACTGGAAAGATCCTGAAGCATTCTGTTACCACTGGAAAGATCTTGGAGCATGATGTTACCACTGGAAAGATCCTGAAGCATTCTGTTACCACTGGAAAGATCTTGGAGCATGCTGTTACTACTGGAAAAATCTTGGAGCATACTGTTACTACTGGAAAAATGAGTAACAAAAGAGACAGAGGAAGATAACACAAGACGATTCTAGAGAACCTTGTATCATGGCATGGAGAGGTCTCAAAATACGAACTGGTACACTTCGTGGAGAAGCATGATCGCCCACGCCAGTCGACAAGGCAAATAATAATGATGAAATGATGAGGTGTGGATTTAATCAAGATAAAGCAAATAGCACAGAATAATTATCGCTGGCTCTTTATCAAATCTCACACGGTGATAGTGTGCACGTTTCACAATGTCTTAGGCTGTTACTAGCAGTCCAGTTCTGAAAAGCCATTCCACACAAATGCCTGGCAATCTGGCTGCGAAAATGTTTGTCATCAGCCAACTTGCTGCCGCCTTGTCCTTCAACAAAAGGAAACTACTGTACGGGCAAGCTGGCACCAACGACTACTGTTGTCAGAGAATCACTCGGAGATCTAGCCTCCACCTGGTACGAGACAATCACCTGGAGATCTAGCCTCCACCTGGCACGAGACAATCACCTGGAGATCGAGCAACCACCTGGCACGAGACAATCACCTGGAGATCTAGCATCCACCTGGCAGGAGACAATCACCTCGAGATCTAGCATCCACCTGGCACGAGACAATCACCTGGAGATCTAGCCTCCACCTGGCACGAGACAATCACCTGGAGATCTAGCATCCACCTGGCACGAGACAATCATCTGGAGATCGAGCAACCACAAGGCAAGAGACAATCACCTGGAGATCTAGCATCCACCTGGCACGAAACAATCATCTGGAGATCGAGCAACCACAAGGCAAGAGACAATCACCTGGAGATCTAGCATCCACCTGGCACGAGACAATCATCTGGAGATCGAGCAACCACAAGGCAAGAGACAATCACCTGGAGATCTAGCATCCACCTGGCACGAGACAATCATCTGGAGATCGAGCAACCACAAGGCAAGAGACAATCACCCGGAGATCTAGCATCCACCTGGCACGAGACAATCATCTGGAGATCGAGCAACCACAAGGCAAGAGACAATCACCTGGAGATCTAGCATCCACCTGGCACGAGACAATCATCTGGAGATCGAGCAACCACAAGGCAAGAGACAATCACCTGGAGATCTAGCATCCACCTGGCACGAGACAATCATCTGGAGATCGAGCAACCACAAGGCAAGAGACAATCACCCGGAGAGCGAGCTACCACCTAGCAAGAGAAAGAAGCGGTCTTTGGTTGTAATGGATCTGTTGGTCCCAATGTCCCCACAATTGCCACTTATGCTTTGGACAGGGGAGATAATCTGCGTGCAGCTACCTGTTGAATGGAGGAAGACACAATGACAGGGGAGATAATCTGCGTGCAGCTACCTGTTGAATGGAGGAAGACACAATGACAGGGGAGATAATCTGCGTGCAGCTACCTGTTGAGTAAAGAAAGACACAATGACAGGGGAGGCAACTGTTTCAGGATGTTTGAGTCTAGATGTCAGTATCATTGTCACTAGGAGCGACGTGCGTACTTTCGCCCAATTGAAAAGTTGAGAGAGAGAGGGAGGGAGGGGAGGGAGGGGGGGGGGGGGGGTTAAAGGAATAGTTTGAATTGTTTTAAAGATACCCGAACACACACATACAATACCAGAATGTATATATATATATATATATATATATATACTTTTAATTTAAATTAATATATATATATATATATATATATATATATATATATAATATATATATATATATATATATATATATATATTAATTTAAATTGAAAGTAAAACAAATAGTCTTTAGACACCCCTTTACCCCCCCCCCCCCCTCCCCGTTTTCCTTTTCAATTATGTAAATATATTCACCATCTTGTCATCTCCTTGTGAGATGCAATTTTTTTTATTTGAAGCCCTACTCTGGCTCTTGCCAGGGGCCGCAATATAGCCCGACCGTAAATATGGTATAATGGCTGAACGCGGTTTCTGGGACCTCTCTACGGGTGATCCTCGTCCACATGGTGGCGCTTTGTGTCATCGGGTGTTTATCGCTTGTGTGATGTCCTGGTGGGGTAGAAAGTCAGTCAGTCATTAAATATACAAAAGACTTTTCCGCGCTCTTAACATCGGTGACCGGGTTGCCCATTGGCTGGTCAGTAGACGACTTCGTCGCCGTTAAGGTCAGTATTTAAGTTTGACTTTTTTGATGTCATCAACACTGCAGAAGTCTATTTCAGGGGCTACTTGGTGGCGAGCAGTGCTAAACCTTTTATCTGTCGCACATAACCTAAGTCACAATTATAACCAAAAGGCTCGCCATTGGCAATGCTGGTTAAACGGAACGACCCCCCCCCCCCCCTCAATAAGACCAGGCACGTTTCCGTGACTTTATGCGTTCTGGGCATATAGGGCTGGAACTATATTTTATAGACCAATCGACAATTCTTGGTGATGTGGTCACCTTTACTTCCCACGACTGCACCTGGTACCCACTCAAGGATGAGTCGACCTGGGAGCCAAAATAATTTTTTTGAACAAAAATGTCCGGCTCCTTCAGGATCCGAACCCACAACCCTCCGATCCGCAGGCGGGCGACTGGACGCAACACCGCGAGTCCCATATATATATAAGCCTGTTTCTATTTGATGAGAGCTTACATTGTTTGTTCCGCTGGGTTTGTTACAAAACTTCACATTGCTTGTGCTCGCTAGTACTGGAAACTTCAACTCAGACAATAGTTCTCAGAAAGTTAGGAACAATACAAACGTATCAACCGAATGTCACAGAATACTTGGAGATAAAACTGAATCAGCTTGAGCATCAAATAGACCACAAGCTGAAACAACCACAAGACATGAAAGAGAACCATAGGACAGTTGTGGGTACATTCATCGTTGAAACTGAAACAAACGCTCACTTGACCAATCCCCTCAAATGGTAGGTACATTTGCATCAATAATTGCACCAAGTGTATTTTCAGTACAACCTCAGTCACTTAAAACACACACACACACACACACACACGCACGCACGCCCACATCCACCCACCCACGCACGCACGCACACACACACACACACACACACATTCAAACAAACAAAAATAAAGATTTAACAAAATGTCAAATATTGATGAAAAATTTCTTTGAAAAAAAAAAACCCAAAACATCAGACGTGGTACGAGAAGTAGTGTTTCTGTGAAAGGGGCACAAGGTACCAGATTTGTACGAAAGTACCGATTTCGGGATTTCTGGGTGTAATCCAAAGTCTTAATAACCATTCACAGACAATGCGCGATCAACTACTGGAGTTGACATCAATGGGTTTGCTGTAACTACTTTCAGATCTCTATTTTATTATTTATTACCAATGTGTGTCCATGTTCGGCTGTATTAATACTGATCTTGTGAAATAATTGTAATCAGACCGTTGATAATTGCCTGGTGTGTCGGTGTTTTCTCGGACAGGTGAGAGGTACTGCCCGGGCTTGATGCGTAAGGTACGTCCCTGATGGAATTAGGCGGGAAACCTCTGGGCGACAAGAACCCCAATGATGTCTGCGAGAGATGATGGCGGCTTCCATACGTCTGATCATAGTCTGCACAATAGTCATGTTGTCAGGTATTGACTGTTGTTGTCAGGTATTGACTGTTGTTGACAGGTATCGACTGTTGTTGTCAGATATTGACTGTTGTTGTCAGGTATTGACTGTTGTTGTCAGATATTGACTGTTGTTGTCAGGTATTGACTGTTGTTGTCAGGTATTGACTGTTGTTGTCAGGTATTGACTGTTGCTGTCAGGTATTGACTGTTGTTGTCAGGTATTGACTGTTGTTGTCAGGTATTGACTGTTGTTGTCAGGTATCGACTGTTGTTGTCAGGTATCGACTGTTGTTGTCAGGTATCGAGTGTTTAATTATGTGTTTATTTAAAATGTCGGCGTCAACAGGAGTGACATTCACAGATGGGACATTCTCTACCCAACAGGAGTGACATTCACTGATGGGACATTCTCTACCCAACAGGAGGGACATTCACTGATGGGACATTCTCTACCCAACAGGAGGGACATTCACTGATGGGACATTCTCTACCCAACAGGAGTTAATATCCAGTGCTCTTTTATGTGGCATCCATCCATTTTTATTCCGGTTCCTGCTTTGCACACATGCTCATACTTACATACAGGCACAGACATACACACATACACACAGGCACATACATACACACATGCGCACACATACACAGGCGCACGCATGCATACAGGCACACAAATCCCCATAGGCGCACACATACACACGGGCACATTTGAAGACTGAGTCGCTGGCAGGTATTTCTGTAAAACTGTTGTGTCCGTGCATAAATCGACAATCTTGTGAGTCTCAGTGTGTTAAAACATAAAACTCGGGCAGAACCAGTTTAAAAACAGAACCGAGCCAAAATGGATTCCTTTTGACATCTTCATTTATGCGTTTTCAAACGCATTCGGCTGTCTTCCTTTTAGATTTACCTTCTCCAGCCTGTCTCGTCCTGTCTTGTTCACTTCAAAGAAAGGCACCACCAATACGTTTGGAACAAAGCAGGCTGCAGTAGCTGCCGGAGCAGACGAGCAATGAATTGCCTGAACTTCTATCAGAGTTTCCGTCCTAGACCAGCTGCCAGCAAAAACTAAGGGCTTGGTCTGCCCTGCCAGATCATCAAGTTTTCAGGTTGCATTTCCTCTTACTAGAATAAGGCTGGAATTATCTGTAGCACATCGTAACACTATCGTCTGAAAAGACGGAAATCCAAGCGAGAAGCCCAACTTATCCAAACCTAGAGACTTTTGAAGATCTCTATGTGAAACTTGCGAAGAGAGGAGGGAGGGGGTGGCGGAGTGGTTCTAGTTATAGAGGTTAGCCTTGAATATGTTGAGTAAGTGATGTTTATAAGAAATTGCCAGTTGACTGGTAGCTCCTAATCTCTCTCTCTCTCTCTCTCTCTCTCTCTCTCTCTCTCTCTCTCTCTCTCTCTCTCTCTCTCTCTCTCTCTCTCTCTCTCTCTTTCTCTCTGTCTCTGTCTGTCTGTATTTATGTTTGTACGTACGTACACAAATGTGTGTATGTGTGAAAAGTTCTTTATATGTGTTTATGTAAGTATTGAGCATTTTTGGATACATGCATTTACTATCCGTGCATTGGTTTCTAACACTTAATATTCTTATGACGCATACTGATATGTTGTGAGTATAGCATGGTATCTAAACAGCATGATCTGATATCTGACTTAAATCTGGTAACCTAAATATTTCTGGAGGCGGGAGTGTTTGAAACCCGGTACGTTAGCCAAACGTGTTGATTCTGTAAAGCCACCAACCTGTGACACATAAACACAGTTGATCTGATATCTCACATACATTCTACATAATGTATGCGTTAATATGCTGTAAGCAAGGGAGCAAACAACGCACGTATGGCCATTGATTGGGAACATCTGTGTTTGAAATAAAGTCACATTCAAATTAAGGGACATAATCAATGTGACATACCAAACCAAGGGAGGTAAATTATTAAATGTATTGGAGGAAAAACTAGAGAAATTAATCCAAGTTATATTAAGGCACTTATAACGGAATAAATAAGAGTGCAACTGCACAAACAATACGATATTGTATTTGTAAAATCCTAATCTATAATCTACCCAGCCTGGTTGGCAGTACATATTAAAGCTATAATACCATATAGCTGCAAAATGTTTAGAGGCGAATGGAAGATCAATGTTTAATGATTAAGGTGTGAACAGCGAAGCTTTCAAGCATGTCACTACCCTATTCTGATTTCAGCTTGCTCACCTCGTAACCGTCAGAGCCCCAGCATAACCTCACAGTTGAACTGAGTTTCTCATCCTAGTAATGTTACTTCTATGCACTGTGTCACCGGGTGTTGATCGCTCAGCGTGCCGTCCTGGTGGCTGTCAACTTGGTTCACTGCTGTTCATGATTTGCTTCACGGAAGGAAGACTGAGACACTTATGAGAGACGTCTAGGGACATCACATCTCTCTCTCTCTCTCTCTCTCTCTCTCTCTCTCTCTCTCTCTCTCTCTCTCTCGCTCTCTCGCCCTTACCCTCTCTCTATCTCTCTCTCTCACACTCTTCTCTCGCCCTTACCCCCCCCTCTCTCTCTCTCTCTCTCTCTCTCTCTCTCTCTCTCACCTATTCTCTGACTCTGTGTGTGCGCTCCTCCGTCCGCCCTCTGAAAATATTGCAACCGCTGCTGAATTTGCGACAGTAACTGATGAGGTCAAAGTCTCTTCCACTGTACACCTCTTATACCACTGTCCTGACCTTTCGCCGGGCAAATCGAAGCTGGTACTTAAAGACGGCATCCTAAATATGGGGTTGTTAATAACTATTTTTATTTTACATGCTCTCTTACCGAAAGCATATCTGTCAATTGTTCACTAGCTACTGTCTACGACTGATGTCCTATCCGTCCATTTCTCTGGCACATCTTTTCCACACAAACTAAAACTGTTGACAGAGAGATCGGCCCAGCCTGACGTCTGCCAGTCGTGTCAGAATGGAGGCCAGTGTCCGCCAGGGAGCAGCACCTGCCAGTGTCCCCTGGGGTTTACTGGTGTCCAGTGTCAGACGGCCATTGACCGCTGCTCGCTGCCAGAGTCACCGCACCAGTGCCAGAACAATGCCCGGTGTGTGAGCGGGCTCAGCAACTACACGTGCACGTGTTTGTCTGGCTGGGAGGGTCGCTTCTGTGAGCAGGTTGGTATCCTCATTATCATTATGTCTGTCTGGGTTCCGGGCGCTATTCGGCGAGGGTAGCCTAGGGAGGGGGGAGATGTGGGGGTTTACCCTAACAAGCATGCCTTAGATAAGATGGCGACAAATTATGGTTTAGCTAACATTGGATGTACTGGGATGAAAGGTGTAGATATGACACCTGTGATTAGATATGACACATGTGATTAGATATGACACATGTGATTAGATATGACACATGTGATTAGATATGACACATGTGATTAGATATGGCACATGTGATTAGATATGATACATGTGATTAGATATGACACATGTGATTAGATATGACACATGTGATTAGATATGACACATGTGATTAGATATGACACATGTGATTAGATATGATACATGTGATTAGATATGACACATGTGATTAGATATGACACATGTGATTAGATATGACCCATGTGATTAGATATGACACATGTGACACATGAAGACGCAGAAGAATAAGATCATTATCATCGTTTTCATTACTATCATCATTGTAGTCTTTATTTTCAACAACTTCTTCATCACTAGGACCAGAAGTCCTATATTAGTTGTTACCGTCGTAGCGTCAAGTGTTTTGTCTCTACGTCACGTCACACAAACGGGTGTGGCCTCCCTTTGTCGGTCGCCTTCCCTTCCCAGTCAGTTCACTGAGAAAATAAACTTCTCAAGTGTCCATATGATATAAAGCTGTGTCGATGTGAGAGTTTTACTTTGCTGTGAAGTTTTCCATAATTCAAGTATACCATTGTTGCCATTACATGTATGTGATGTGTTTCTTCTCAGACACTTGTCTGTCATCATTTCTGCCATCATCTATTCATTTACTTCCATTCCCTTCCTGGATTCCCGCCTCAACGCAACACGGTCCACGGTATTGTGTTCTCATATATCCGCCTCAATACCTGTATCATTCATGTGCAGGTTGCACACACTGTTTAGATCGTAGTGCAGGTTGCGACCTCGACATCTCCTGTAACGTGTAATTCACCCTAAAGGAGGTACTTAGGGATCCTACCATCCCATGTCCTCCAATGACGACCCAGCAACTGGAGCATTGAGAACACCCTCGTGATATCTGACCTTTCCAGTACCTCAGTGTTTGATATTATTACATCTGTCATAAATCATGAATTGCCCCATACCAATGACAGCGATCTCATTAATATGGGGTAAAATATACTGACGACAGGGGATTGAAGCTGAAACTCGAAATCGCCTCAGAAGTAAAAGATAATTACAAATAAATAAATACAAATTGTTTTCCAGAATGCCATATCCAAGTAAATTGGTCACGTCTGTGGCAAGTGGACGAGTAGAAATGTTTATTTGATTGACTTGATCACATCACGTGGGTAATGTATCGTAGTGCAGAAGTTAAATAAAGAATAACACGGTGGGTGGGGATGGGGGTTGCGGATGAAGAATAATCGGCTTTTCTCCTAACGGTTCCAAATTATCGAGGCCAAAAATATACCCTGACAGGGCCTCAGTCACATGACAACAGCAAACTTCCGGGGACTATACCGCCACCGCCGAGGGTATCTCAAACGCCACTACGCGTGACGTGGATTGGGGCTAAACTAGATAGCTGAGACTCGCGAGCAAATAAAATGAAGGAAGCTGCAGGAGATTCGGTAGCTGCTGCTCGTGAGTCCCAGCCATCTAATTTATCCCCAATCCACGCCGAGCGTAGCGGCTTGTGAGATACTCTAGGCGGTGGCGTAAGTCGCCGGAAGTGCGCAATTTAAGTCGCCAGAAGTTCGCAATTGACATGTGACTGAGGCCCTGTTAGGGTATTTTTTCGGCCTCGATAATTTGGGACTGTTTTTCGTAGGATAGCCGAATAATCTATACAATATATATTTATTAAGAGACGGTTGTTAAGAGCGATATAGAGCAATTCCTGATATATGGAAGTCAATCATGGACATTTAACCAAAAACTGAGCAATGATGTGTGATATGCAAAGATGTGTTTTAAAGACGAATGATGAAAATCAGTACCAAATTGTGTTAGCACACCATGGGAAGACAAAAACAAGATCAAATCCTAAACAACTTTAGCTGGAAGCTGTAAGAGTTTAGTGGGGACATACACAGAGGAGAGATCCAATTTGTTGGTTTCATGAGCTGGATAATATTTATATTATGCCTGTGTGGATAATATTATTAATTGCTCACACATGACTTTCTCTAATGAATCCCTTGGAGGGGCCAGCACTCTTGTCTCATCCATCTGACTTGTTACCTTTCATTGAAGGAGAAGGACGAATGCCAGTCAAGTCCCTGCAGGAACGGGGCCAGCTGCCAGGATATCTTTGATGGCTACCGATGTCAGTGTCCGCCCAGCTACACCGGCCTGTCCTGTAGTCAGGACGTGGATGAGTGCAGCCAGACCCCGGGTCTCTGTCAGCACGGATCCACCTGTGTCAACACGGACGGGGGATTTATCTGCAGTTGTGTGCCAGGTGAGAGGTAGCTATGGCTGGAGGACAGCTGGTAGGCTGCCAGTATATCATCCTCATTAGCATCATTACAATTATCATCATCATCTTTATCACCAACACCATCATCATCAGGTGCATACCAGCAATGAAGTCGGTAACGAGCTTGTAAGTGCCCACAAAGTAGACTCGCACAGACTGTTTATTGGGTTGTTGTTGTTGCTGCTGCTGTTTGTTGTTGTTGTTGTTGTTGTTCGTGCGAGTGACGCAATTGTGTTGAGCCGGTTTACAACAAAACTAGGATGCCTTTCGGCAGCCGACTTCATTTGTTACCCGTGTTAACTTTTAGGTTATTATTGGATTGTTCTGCTTGTTGAGCTTGTTAAATATTCAAGTGTTTTATGTCAGGAAACCTCATCTCATCATTAGGTTACAAAATGCAAAATTAAACCTGTTTTGGACCAGCCTACACAGATCCCGAACCAACCTATACAAGTCTTGGACCAGCCTACACAGATCCCGGACCAGCCTACACAGATCTTGGACCAGCCTACTCAGATCTTGGACCAGCCTACACAAGTCTTGGACCAGCCTACACAGATCCTGGACCAGCCTACACAGATCCCGAACCAACCTATACAAGTCTTGGACCAGCCTACACAGATCTTGGACCAGCCTACACAGATCTTGGACCAGCCTACACAGATCTTGGACCAGCCTACACAGGTCATGGACCAGCCTACACAGGTCTTGGACCAGCCTACACAGATCTTGGACCAGCCTACACATAATCTGGTAATCTGGTAATCCTAGTTTCAGCATCATAGCAAACGGGTCACCCCATTGTTGCTCCGCTCCTGTGCCAACGAAAAACACTCGTAGCTCACAGTGTCACACCATGCACTCAACTCAGAAGCTGGGTGACGAAACTATATCCTTCCAGTCTACAAATGGAGCAAAAATGCAACGGCCACCGCCTGGCAGAACTGCCACGGCTTTAAAAAAAAAAAAAAAAAGTGGTCGTGCCTAGTGTCCACTGTGACTTGAAGCATTATGTGAGGGGTTAACAAATGGTCACCCCAGCAGTACCCTCACTATTAGCTGGGAAAGGGACTTAGGACATTACATCCACCAGCAGGCGTCGCCCCTACAACATGCCTACACATGTCTTGGACCAGCCTCTATGGGTCTTGGACCAGCCTACACAGGTCTTGGACCAGCCTACACAGGTCTTGGACCAGCCTACACAGGTCTTGGACCAGCCTACACAGGTCTTGGACCAGCCTCTATGGGTCTTGGACCAGCCTACACATGTCTTGGACCAGCCTACACAGGTCTTGGACCAGCCTACACAGGTCTTGGACCAGCCTACACAGATCCCGGACCAGCCTACACAGATCTTGGACCAGCCTACGCAGGTCTTGGTGTGAGATGGCTGCCGGTCTTGGTGTGAGATGGCTGCCGGTGTGTGTTCCCTAGGATTTGAAGAAGAATGTAAAAAAGAATAGAGGACGACAAAGATAGCTGTTATTATTAGAAACTGTGCGTGTTTATAGTGGATGTGTTGTCTGCGACAGGTTACAGCGGGCCAAGCTGCGAGACAGAGATAGACGAATGTGCCAGCTCACCATGTCACTTCAACGGCTCTTGCATCGACCTCATCAACAACTTCCGGTGCCAGTGTTTGCCGGGCTACCTGGGTGCCAGGTGTGAGGCTGTGGTCAGACAGTGCCAGCCGCTCAACCCATGTGGTCAGCATGGCTTGTGTCTGGAGAAACTTCAAGGTAGGGGAGGGAGAGAAAGTAGGGCGAGGAAGGGAGGGAGAGAAAGTAGGGCGAGGGAGGGAGAGAAAGCAGGGCGAGGGAGGGAGAGAAAGCAGGGCGAGGGAGGGAGTAGAGAGTGTGTGAGACAGAATGAGAAAGAAATAGAGAGAAGGGTTTTCATAGAGCTGGTATTACGATAATAACAAATGAGGAGCCGTATATACCCTTGATAATACTTTAAAACAAAAAAGTCCTTATGGCGCATGTCTTGCTTCTTGTCTTGTCCCCGTTGAGTTTTCCCCACGGAATTGAGAATGATCTAGTACTACCCCAGCCTTTGTTTTCCTCCTCCCTTCACCACAGTTTGATCATTATTCTAAAAAGGCATTTACACTACTTTCATTCTGGGTCAGTTCATTATTGGTTGTCCAATTGACCACAATTTAACTTTTCTGTCGGCTGATTGTCTTGCATGAAGGGAAGTTTGGTTGGGAGATCAATCCCAGTAAAGCATTCGAAGTTCTATGTGTTGTGTGAATGATCTGCTTGAAACAACCCATTTAGGATAACGTGTGTTGTGTGAATGATCTGCCTGTTACAACACATTTAGGATAACGTGTGTTGTGTGAATGATCTGCTTGTAACAACACATTTAGGATAACGTGTGTTGTGTGAATGATCTGCCTGTTACAACACATTTAGGATAACGTGTGTTGTGTGAATGATCTGCTTGTAACAACACATTTAGGATAGCGTGTGTTGTGTGAACGATCTGCTTGTAACAACACATTTAGGGTAGCGTGTGTTGCGTGAATGATCTGCTTGTAACAACACATTTAGGATAACGTGTGTTGTGTGAATGATCTGCCTGTTACAACACATTTAGGATAACGTGTGTTGTGTGAATGATCTGCTTGCAACAACACATCTAGGATAACGTGTGTTGTGTGAATGATCTGCTTGTAACAATACATTTAGGATAGCATGTGCTGTGTGAACGATCTGCTTGTAACAACCTATTTAGGATAGCGTGTGTTGTGTGAATGATCTGGTTGTAACAATACATTTAGGATAGCTAGAGTGTGTTGTGTTTTTGGCTGGAGAAACAATAGGGAAAGAGGTAATGGTAGCATGATTTGTGTCGTTAGTGGGAGAGTAATGACAGACAAACACAGGCACTTGTACCAGTTTGTGCAGTCACTTGTACCAGTTTGTACCAGGGCTTGTACCAGTTTGTGTTGTCCTTCAGGAGGCTACACTTGTTTCTGCAAGTCTGGGTTCTATGGAGATCATTGTGAGCTTGTGGTTAACCTGTGCGCCTCCAAGCCGTGCGGTCATGGTGCTACCTGTGTCAACGGAGGCCTCAACTACACCTGTAGCTGCGCTCCAGGTAACAATATCACTTACACCTGTAGCTGCGCTCCAGGTAACAATATCACTTACACCTGTAGCTGTGCTCCAGGTAACAATATCACTTACACCTGTAGCTGTGCTCCAGGTAACAATATCACATACACCTGTAGCTGCGCTCCAGGTAACAATATCACTTACACCTGTAGCTGCGCTCCAGGTAACAATATCACTTACACCTGTTGCTGTGCTCCAGGTAACAATATCACTTACACCTGTAGCTGCGCTCCAGGTAACAATATCACTTACATCTGTAGCTGTGCTCCAGGTAACAATATCACTTACACCTGTAGCTGTGCTCCAGGTAACAATATCACTTACACCTATAGCTATGCTCCAGGTAACAATATCACTTACACCTATAGCTGTGCTCCAGGTAACAACATCACTTACACATGTAGCTGTGCTCCAGGTAACAACATCACTTACACCTGTAGCTGCGCTCCAGGTAACAATATCACTTACACCTGTAGCTGTGCTCCAGGTAACAATATCACTTACACCTATAGCTGTGCTCCAGGTAACAACATCACTTACACCTGTAGCTGTGCTCCAGGTAACAACATCACTTACACCTGTAGCTGTGCTCCAGGTAACAATATCACTTACACATGTAGCTGCGCTCCAGGTAACAATATCACTTACACCTGTAGCTGCGCTCCAGGTAACAATATCACTTACACCTGTAGCTGTGCTCCAGGTAACAACATCACTTACACCTATAGCTGTGCTCCAGGTAACAATATCACTTACACCTGTAGCTGTGCTCCAGGTAACAATATCACTTACACCTGTAGCTGTGCTCCAGGTAACAACATCACTTACACCTATAGCTGTGCTCCAGGTAACAACATCACTTACACCTGTAGCTGTGCTCCAGGTAACAACATCACTTACACCTATAGCTGTGCTCCAGGTAACAATATCACTTACACCTATAGCTGTGCTCCAGGTAACAATATCACTTACACCTATAGCTGTGCTCCAGGTAACAATATCACTTACACCTGTAGCTGTGCTCCAGGTAACAATATCACTTACACCTATAGCTGTGCTCCAGGTAACAATATCACTTACACCTATAGCTGTGCTCCAGGTAACAACATCACTTACACCTGTAGCTGTGCTCCAGGTAACAATATCACTTACACCTGTAGCTGTGCTCCAGGTAACAATATCACTTACACCTGTAGCTGTGCTCCATGTAACAACATCACTTACACCTATAGCTGTGCTCCAGGTAACAACATCACTTACACCTGTAGCTGTGTTCCAGGTAACAACATCACTTGTATTCAATGTTTTCTTGATGTACAATAAACCAGCAGATATCAAGCTGCCTTGCCCCAGCACGGTGTCTTCGATGTGGTTCCATTCCTGGAAGTGAGGATAGGTTTCTTTGCCAGCATGCATGTTGTTGACAGGGGCGTACCTAGGATATGGCAGGTAGGGCAGATGCCCTTGGTGCCACCTAAAAAAAAGGGGGCGGGGGGGTTAGTAGGGGGAATGGGTGTTGCGAACAACTCATTTTTGTTCTTTCAAGTCGCAGCGTCTCATCTGGAGTTACCACAGCGAGTTTCATTTTGTTGAAGGGGGTTAGAATCACAACCCCCCACCCCACCCCTCCACACACACAAAATAAAAATTATCAATATTAACTCCTGGTTTGCACTGCTTACATTGGTTTTACACACATACACATAAAAAATCTGGCCAGTACATGATTGTTGATATGACACAGTATTACAAAAACTAGTGTACTCGCTAGAAATATACTGTCTTATTATACTTCACTCTTGTTGTTTTTTGTAGAATTTTTTTTTTTAGAAAGAAGACCGTAAAACGATTTGACACAACAATCTCAAGAGTTGACACTGCACAAATTGCACATTTTCACAGTGCACACACAGTATATTTTCATATCCTTTGAATTGTACTTGCAAGTCTGTAAAAGAAGCCACACAATTGAGAAATGGCAAGTGCAGATAACCCAAACTGTCTACCCCATGGGCACCAAATACCCCTGGTATGCCACGAGTTGTTGGTGCCCATCAAGTATTTTTTGTGTGTGTAGCAATCATCTATCATCCAACATCCATGTCCAATACTGGAACTATGTCCATGTGTGTGATTCGTCCAACTCAGGTACTGCCAACAGGTGTGGAGACTGATACTTGCAGGTGTCTGTTGGTTACAGGCATATCTTTTCTCTGGCATGCTTCATCAGCATCATCATCATCATCATCATCATCATATAATCTCCTTATCATCCTCACCATCATTTTTTCGAATAAAAAATAATGTCTCAGAACTCTGTTCCTGTGATGGCTCACTGTCATAGCCTAGCTCTGGATGTTTTGTCTGTTTCCTTGACTCATTTATTTGAGACTCTTTTTTTTGTGTCTGTTGTGTTCCCCCCTTATTGTCTTCTGGAGTCTGATGGTCTCTATCTGTTATGTAAAACCTCCAGCTGATGTTCCCTCTAACGGTGTCAACGGAGATTTATAATTATATGGGTCTGTTGGTGATTGAGTTTCTCCTCTTGCAGCAGTCAGTTTTTTTTTTATAGACAGTTTCACCAGGGACCCAGATGAGTGGATAAAAGATGAATGGCAACCCAGCTGAGTGGAAGAAAAATGAAAGGCAACCCTAATGAGTGGATGATAGATGAAAGACAACCCAGCTGAGTGGAAGAAAAATGAAAGGCAACCCTGATGAGTGGATGATAGATGAATGGCAACCCAGCTGAGTGGAAAAAAAATGAAAGGCAACCCTGATGAGTGGATGATAGATGAAAGGCAACCCAGATGAGTGGATGAAAGATGAAAGGCAAACCAGATGAGTGGAAGAAAGATGAAAGGAAATCATGAGGGCATGCACATTATGGAATGTAACCCTCTATCACCATGAGGGTATGCACATCAATCATGGGATGTTACCGTCTCCTACAATAAAGGCATGCACATCAATCATGGGATGTAACCATCTGCCACCATGAGGACATGCACATCAATCATGGGATGTAACCGTCTGCCACCATGAGGACATGCACATCAATCATGGGATGTAACCATCTGCCACCATGAGGGCATGCACATCAATCATGGGATGTAACCATCTGCCACCATCTGCCACCTTGGGGGCATGCACCTCAATCATGGGATGTAACCATCTGCCACCATGAGGGCATGCACATCAATCATGGGATGTAACCATCTGCCACCATGGGGGCATGCACCTCAATCATGGGATGTAACCATCTGCCACCATGAGGGCATGCACATCAATCATGGGATGTAACCATCTACCACCATGAGGACATGCACATCAATCATGGGATGTAACCATCTACCACCATGAGGACATGCACATCAATCATGGGATGTAACCATCTACCACCATGAGGGCATGCACATCAATCATGGGATGTAACCATCTGCCACCATGAGGGCATGCACATCAATCATGGGATGTAACCATCTAACACCATGAGGACATGCACATCAATCATGGAATGTAACCGTCTACCACCATGAGGGCATGCACACCAATCATGGAATGTAACCGTCTACCACCATGAGGACATGCACATCAATCATCGGATGTAACCATCTGCCACCATGAGGGCATGCACATCAATCATGGGATGTAACCATCTACCACCATGAGGGCATGCACATCAATCATGGGATGTAACCATCTGCCACCATGAGGGCATGCACATCAATCATGGGATGTAACCATCTGCCACCATGAGGGCATGCACATCAATCATGGGATGTAACCGTCTACCACCATGAGGGCATGCACATCAATCATGGGATGTAACCATCTACCACCATGGGGGCATGCACATCAATCATGGGATGTAACCATCTACCACCATGAGGGAAGGCACATCAATCATGGGATGTAACCATCTGCCACCATGAGGGCATGCACATCAATCATGGGATGTAACCATCTGCCACCATGAGGGCATGAACCTCAATCATGGGATGTAACCATCTACCACCATGAGGGCATGCACATCAATCATGGGATGTAACCGTCTACCACCATGAGGGCATGAACCTCAATCATGGGATGTAACCATCTACCACCATGAGGGCATGAACCTCAATCATGGGATGTAACCATCTACCACCATGAGGGCATGAACCTCAATCATGGGATGTAACCATCTTCCACCATGAGGGCATGAACCTGAATCATGTGATGTAACCATCTACCACCATGAGGGCATGAACCTCAATCATGGAATGTAACCATCTACCACCATGAGGGCATGAACCTCAATCATGGGATGTAACCATCTGCCACCATGAGGGCATGAACCTCAATCATGGGATGTAACCATCTACCACCATGAGGACATGCACATCAATCATGGGATGTAACCATCTGCCACCATGGGGGCATGCACCTCAATCATGGGATGTAACCGTCTACCACCATGAGGGCATGTACATCAATCATGGGATGTAACCATCTACCACCACGAGGACATGCACATCAATCATGGGATGTAACCATCTGCCACCATGAGGGCATGAACCTCAATCATGGGATGTAACCAACTGCCACCATGGGGGCATGAACCTCAATCATGGGATGTAACCATCTACCACCATGGGGGCATGTACATCAATCATGGGATGTAACCATCTACCACCACGAGGACATGCACATCAATCATGGGATGTAACCATCAGCCACTATGAGGGCATGAACCTCAATCATGGGATGTAACCAACTGCCACCATGGGGGCATGAACCTCAATCATGGGATGTAACCATCTACCACCATGAGGGCATGAACCTCAATCATGGGATGTAACGGGATGTAACCAACTGCCACTATGGGGGCATGTACATCAATCATGGGATGTAACCATCTACCACCATGAGGACATGCACATCATGGGATGTAACCATCTACCACCATGAGGGCATGAACCTCGTGGGATTTATCCGTTGCCAGTGCATGGAACTCAGAAATGTGTAGCTCATACTTGGCTGCCTGGTGTGTTTGATCAAAGTAGACCTTTCCTGAGTCAGTCAGGCTGTCTGTCTGTCTGTCTGTCTGTGTGTCTGTCTGTGTGTCTGTCTGTTTGTCCGTCCGTCCGTCTGTCCGTCTAACTGTCTGTCTGTCTGTCTGTCTGTCTGTCTGTCTGTCTGTCTGTCTGTCTGTCTGTCTGTCTGTCTGTCTGTCTGTCTGTCTGTCTGTCTGTCTGTCTGTCTGTCTGTCTGTCTGTCTGTCTGTCTGTCTGTCTGCAGAACATCCTGCAGTTTATTGACCAGGACTCTTTATTCCTCTGGCATGTGATCCTTTTACATCCCATCTCAGTGACTGCTGCCAACCTGTTCCCGCTGACAACCAAGCGTGTCTGTTCAGCCTGCTCAACTTCTTGAATCAACCATGGAGACCACACACAAACAGTTGCTTTATCAGACTATTGTTTGTGTCATCGAAGCTAGACCTCCGCGCTTGATGCTGAAACTGGGGACAGAGGGGATCTGTGAATGTCTCGGGAGCTGTGATGTAGATCTTCCTAATTCAATATTCTATATTGCATGGCAAGGTCTCGAGGCATGGCATCCACCACGAGCGCTTGAGGCCCCGGATTCAAGCCCCAGTGAAAGTTATCATTTTTTTCACGTATACTTTTAGTAATTTCCCCTGGTCTCTGGGTAGTAAGATCGGACGCCCGTATGTATTGTTGCGTACGTAAAAAAAAAATCTCTTGGCAGTTGGAAATCAGAAAAAGTGCTTTAACGGCGCTTTCCGGGCGAAATTTTGGTTCTTAATTTATAAAGTACCCCAAACACGAAATCCCTGTGAGAAATCCACAGCTGACCTGACAGTCCATTATTTCAAGGGGTGGAAGTGTGCTGTTGTGTGGTGCTTTTTTTGAGTGTTCATCGAGTGTCTTCTAACGCTAACCCTAACCCTAACCCTAACCCTAACCCTAACTCTAACCATAAACTTGGCTGTAGATAAATCGCGAGAAACTACAACCTGAACACCCTAGAATTTATTGGGAATGTCTCCCGTGACGTTGTCGTGACGTCAGGGGTAAGTTATAAATTAAGTACCGAAATTTGTAGTTTAAAATATACCCAAATAATTTCAGGATCCTCACCTGTGCTGCATAGTTCGTGCACGGCGCTAAGATTCTTCAGACTCAGGCTGGAGTCAGAAGTAGAACGGAGCACTTATGTGTTACTACCCTTGTACCATCATGTTGTTCCGTAATCAAAACCTAAACCTGAATCTAACCCGTGGTTGTTTGTTTAATTGATAACAGTGTTACCATTATGGCTGTCTGAATTACCCATGTCCAGCAAAAGAAAGATTACTGCACACCTCCCATTAATCCCGACGGCATTCTAACCCCAGAGTCCCTGCAAATGACAGGGTCCCTTCTATTCAGAATGCACTGGCGTGGTTATGTATACTAAATGCTGCCTGGTCAGATTCTGAAGCCTTTAGACAAAGGTCAGTGGCGGGTGGCAGCAGAAACAACGGGACTTCCCACTTATTATATTCTACAAGTACATGCAGGTGCAACACAAAACAGTGAAACATGAAAACAACAGAAATGTGAAACTTGAAATATAGAACGTAAATCATGAAACATACTGGAAGGAACCAATTTCAACTCGGTGAAACAAGGCTATTTGAACAGAGGAGAAAAGGACCCGACCAAAGATACACCAAGCTGGAAAAGTCTTTCTCACTGGCTTCATCAGTCCATCAGTCAGTTATGAGTAAAGCAGACTATCAATAGAATGGCAATATGTCTGTGAGTGAGTCTGTTCTTGTCTTTTAGTTCTCTTAGAAGGATCTATGTCTTCTGTCCAGGGTTTACAGGTCGTCACTGTGAGACTGACATCAATGAATGTGCTGACTCCCCCTGTCTCAATAATGGGACGTGCACAGAGGTCAGACCCAGTAGTTTCGTTTGCCAGTGTCCTCCAGGGTTCAAGGGCAGCAAGTGTGAAACAAAGGTCAATGCTTGCGACAGTAATCCTTGCCAGGAGCGTCAGGCATGTGTCAACTTGGTTACTGGTTACAGGTGAGTTTAGCCATGTGGTTACAGGTGAGTTTAGCCAGGTGGTTACAGGTGAGTTTAGCCATGTGGTTACAGGTGAGTTTAGCCAGGTGGTTACAGGTGAGTTAAGCCAGGTGGTTACAGGTGAGTTTAGCCAGGTGGTTACAGGTGAGTTTAGCCATGTGGTTACAGGTGAGTTAAGCCATGTGGTTACAGGTGAGTTTAGCCAGGTGGTTACAGGTGAGTTTAGCCAGGTGGTTACAGGTGAGTTTAACCATGTGGTTACAGGTGAGTTCTGATCAGCTGGCAAGTGTCTAGCCACTACGCCACGGCAGCTTCTGGTCAGCTAGCAAGTGTCTAGCCACTACACCACGGCAGCTTCTGGTCAGCTAGAAAGTGTCTAGCCACTACACCACGGCAGCTTCTGGTCAGCTGGCAAGTGTCTAGCCACTACACCACGCCAGCTTCTGGTCAGCTGGCAAGTGTCTAGCCACTACACCACGGCAGCTTCTGGTCAGCTGGCAAGTGTCTAGCCACTACACCACGGCAGCTTCTGGTCAGCTAGCAAGTTTCTAGCCACTACACCACGGCAGCTTCTGGTCAGCTAGCAAGTTTCTAGCCACTACACCACGGCAGCTTCTGGTCAGCTAGCAAGTGTCTAGCCACTACACCACGGCAGCTTCTGGTCAGCTAGCAAGTTTCTAGCCACTACACCACGGCAGCTTCTGGTCAGCTGGCAAGTGTCTAGCCACTACACCACGCCAGCTTCTGGTCAGCTAGCAAGTGTCTAGCCACTACACCACGGCAGCTTCTGGTCAGCTAGCAAGTGTCTAGCCACTACACCACGGCAGCTTCTGGTCAGCTAGAAAGTGTCTAGCCACTACACCACGCCAGCTTCCAGTTTAATCAGCGAGACTGTACAAATTGCACACAATAATTGCTGAGGGTTCAACAAATCAATTGACAGGTCTGCTACATTTGGGTCACTGTTAGTTTTTAGATGTCAGGGCTTTCTCTTCAACTAATAAAAATGAGCTATTAGATAGCTATGCCTTTTTTTTGTAAACAGTATATACAGTATATGATTTACTATGACTGTGATATTATGATAAAATAATGCTGAAAACGGTGATAATATCAATGATTTTATAGATTAAGATGTTGAGAATTTCTGGTAGTAAACAAATGTGTTCTTGTGTGCAGATGTGAGTGCCAGCCAGGGACAACAGGCAGCTCGTGTGAGACAGACATCTTTGACTGTCGCCTGACAGCTTGTCTTCATGGCGGCACATGTTCCAACAACAACGGAACTTATGTGTGTGCCTGCCCAGCACCATTTACTGACCCCACCTGTTCCAGCAGCCTTGACCCTTGCACCCCCAACTCTTGCCTCTATGGGGGCAGCTGTTATCGTGTCAATGGAACGGACACTGCTTGTGCCTGCCGGGATGGTTTCATCGGTGCAAGATGCCAGGGAGATGTGTATGAATGTTTGAGCAGTCCATGCCTCAATGGAGGGACATGTGTAGAGGTCATCTTTGATGCACTTACAGGACAGCCAGACTCAAATGTAGGATATTTGGGACCAGTAGAAGGAAACACTTCTAGTGTTCATGTCAAATTCACCTGCTCTTGTCCTGGCAACTACACAGGGGCACTGTGTGAGCAGGACTACCTGGCATGTTTGTCCAACCCTTGTCAGAACGGAGGAACATGTACTTCACACACAACCTCTGGTAGGTCAGTCAGTTAAATACATTTTATTATTAATCAGTTTCTTACCAAACTTATCCTGGATTTTTATTTTTCCTTTGTCAGCCATGTCAGGCCAGTTTGTAGTTCTCTGCAAGAATTTGTTTGTGTAATTGTCAGATCGGTCTCACATATGATGTGTTACATCTTGTGCCAGATTTATTATAGTACTAATATCAAGCAGAGACTGACAGAACAGCATTACACTTTTTAAGTAGGTACTAATCACATAATTCTCCCCATGTCACTCGCGCGTGAGAGCTCCCGGTCGTTGACACGGTCTGTCCTATGTTCTAGGGCTGTCAGATGTTGCTTGTTTTGAAAGTTTTACACCCCATGTCACTCGCGCGTGAGAGCTCCCGGTCGTTGACACGGTCTGTCCCATGTTCTAGGGCTGTGAGATGTTGCTTGTTTTGAACGTTTTACACCCCCAACACCACCACTATTGATGACAGCCACCGCCAGTGAGGGTAAAATTGCGAAAGCATCAATGACTCGATACTTACAAACCCTTGCACCTTTGGTGCTTTACTCTGCAGTACTTCTCCTATGTACACAGGCACCTGCAGCGCCTGAGGTACTTACAACAACAACACATTCCAGAAACAACATTCGTTCACACCAAAGACAGTAGCAAAAACAAAGCTACGCAGTTTCATCTAGAAGACAATGTGTGACCTCATCGAACAAAGGCCAGTCATTTTTTGACACACTGACATACTGAAAAGAGGCATCCCACGACACCCGTAAAAGATATCATAGCCCGTGGGAACGGCACGAGTTCTCGCACGCGAGCGAGATGGGGTGAATTACCCGAGTAGCACATTGGAGTAATATCTTTTATCAACTTCCCACTTATGTTAGCACAATCGACGTCACTGCACATTGGGTATTCAAATACATGTTCAGTGTTTTGATGCAACAGTCACTCCAGGGTATCTCTGCTGATTGTTCCCATGCGAAGTTGGTTATAACATCTCCTGTCTTGAATTTAAAGATGGCATAGACATTCTTCATCAAAATTTACTCCCAGGTCACACAATCATATTAGCGTCAGCGATTCATCAGTAACCCAGAATTAATAATATCATGCTCTGTCCATTCTTCGTCCTGCCTGCTTTGATGCGTTACTTGCCAGCTGATCAACTCTGTCATAACCTTTCACTCTTGCATGTTCAAGTGTGTAGATGCAGATGATGCAGTTTAACTAGGACTTCTGAATGCTTTCTACCCCATTAGAGTGTCAATATCTGTTGTGATTTTCTGAAGCAAGCTCCTAGTCTGCACTGATCAGCACACGTCTGCTTGCTGGCTGTACTACCCATGGGAGTGCTTCAGAAGCAGCACTTATCTCCGTGATCATGCTTGACATAGTTCTGGTTGTTCCCGTGATGTTACTGTGATGTATGTGTGATCTAAACTGTTTAGATTTATGACCTGTGTATGTGTGATGTAAACTGTTTAGATGTGTGACCTGTGTATATGTGATGTAAACTGTTAAGATTTATGACTTGTGTGTGTGTGATGTAAACTGTTTAGATGTGTGACCTGTGTATGTGTTATGTAAACTGTTAAGATTTATGACCTGTGTGTGTGTGATGTAAACTGTTTGGAATTATGACCTGTGTAGGTGTGATGTAAACTGTTTAGATTTATGACCTGTGCATGTGTGATGTTTTCAGTTGTTTAGATTTCTGACTTTTGCATGTGACTGAACACAGACTATGAGTGTAAGTGTGCTGATGGCTGGACTGGTGACCGTTGTGAGGAGGACCTCAATGAATGTCGGAACATACCTCCTGTCTGCCTCAACAATGGACAGTGCATCAACAGATCTCCAGGTTTTAGGTCAGTATGTGGGCACTTTGTCTAGTGATTTGAAATTCTCTTGTATCTGCCCAGTGTTGTTGTGAGATAATTGTTCAGTAATTAATTGTCTGTAAAACTTTAAAAGGGGTATGGCAGTATACTGAGGGGAGACTCAGCAGTAAACTGAGGGGAGTCTTAGCAGTAAACCAAGGGGAAACAGCAATAAACTGAGGGAAGTCTTAGCAGTAAAACAATGGGAGACAGCAATAAACTGAGGGAAGTCTTAGCAGTAAGACAAGGGAAGACAGCAATAAACTGAGGGGAGACAGCAGTAAACTGAGGGAAGACTTAGCAGTAAACTGAGGGGAGACTTAGCAGTAAGTGAAAATGTCTATTGGAAAATTTGGAAGAGAGTAAGTTGGAGGAGGAGCTGGAAGAGAAAAAGACGATAGGCAAGTGGAAGGAGAGTCAGGAGAATAATTACAACATAAAATTGAATGTGACCACAAAATGTATGAAGGGGAGAAGAAGAAGAGTTTAGATATTAGTCATCTATACTTGAGGGAGGAGAAGAAGAGTTTAGACATTAGTCATCTATACTTGAGGGAGGAGAAGAAGAGTATAGACATTAGTCATCTATACTTGAGAGAGGAGAAGAAGAGTTTAGACATTAGTCATCTATACTTGAGGGAGGAGAAGAAGAGTTTAGACATTAGTCATCTATACTTGAGGGAAAAGAAGAAGAGTATAGACATTAGTCATCTATACTTGAGGGAAAAGAAGAAGAGTATAGACATTAGTCATCTATACTTGAGGGAAAAGAAGAAGAGTATAGACATTAGTCATCTATACTTGAGGGAAAAGAAGAAGAGTATAGACATTAGTCATCTTTACTCAACACTATTTAATGTTTTTTTCGCGGCTTTATCATATTAAAAAACTAACAAAAAATAATTTGAAATTTGTGAGTTCCACTCTTGATAAATGGGAGTCGCTGGAGTTTAGCCACTCAACCCTCGCCTGCCGATCTGAAGGTCAAGGGTTTAGCCACTCGACGCTCGCCTGCCGATGTGAAGGTCAAGGGTTCAGGTTCTGACAGAGCCGGACTGTTTTCAAAAAATGACTTGGCTCCCTGGTTGACCTTGGCCCCCTGGTTGACCTTGGCTCCCTGGTTGACCTTGGCTCCCTGATTGACCTTGGCTCCCTGGTTGACCTTGGCTCCCTGGTTGACCCAGCTTTAAAATGGCTAGCAGGTAAAGGTCTGGGAAGTAAAGGTGGTTGGTGGGATGCCAGCCACATCACCCAATTGGTTTATAAACCAAAGGTCTAGCCCTATACAGCCAATACACCAGAAGGGGTGGAAAAGGGTCCTTTTTACTTGACTTTTGTTACACATGACTGACCCCTGGCTAATGCCCTATTATTTGTGTGCATGCAGATGTGTGTGCCCTAAACACTGGACCGGGAGTCGCTGTGATCTGGACATGCTAGAATGTGATAGTCTCACTTGTCTCAATGGAGGAACCTGCAAGGAGAGAACTGGCAACTCTTCCTTTTGTGTCTGTCCTGCAGGTTTGTTTTATTCGTTGTCCTGCCTGCCACGCCTCCCTTCCCCTTCTTTACTAGGAACTTGTCGGCTGTAGAAATGATATAAAACTTTAACCTTCAAACTTTGACCCAATTCAGCCAGCTTCTTTATTCTGTGCTGAATCATAACCCACTTGTATCCTTCTCCTCATTACAACCTCTGTCTCATTACATCCTCTCCTTGTTATACCCTTCTTCTCATTACATCCTTCTCCAGGTTGCATCCTTTTTCTCTTTACATCCTTCTCCTTGTTACATCCTTCTTCTCATTACATCCTTCTCCTCATTACATCCTTCTCCTTGTTGCATCCTTCTTCTCATTACATCCTTCTCCTTGTTGCATCATTTTCCTCTTTACATCCTTCTCTTTGTTACATCCTTCTTCTCATTACATCCTTCTCCTTGTTACATCCTTCTTATTACATCCTTCTTTCCCTTACCTCCCCCTTCTCATTACATCCTTCTTTCTCTTACACCCCCGCCCATTTCTCATTAATCCTTTTCCTTGTTACATCCTTCTTCTCATTACATCCTTCTTCTCATTACATCCTTCTTCTTGTTAATTCTTTCTTCTCATTACATCCTTCTTTCCCTTACCTCCCTCTTCTCATTGTTAAATCCTTCATTTCATTACATTCGTTTCATTGTTACATCCTTCTTTTCCTTACCTCCTCCTTCTCATTGTTACATCCTTCTTCTCATTACATCCTTCTTCCCTTTACCCCCCCCCCCCCCCCCCTCCCACCCTTTCTCATTAATCCTTCTCTTTGTTACATCCTTCTTCTCATTACATCCTTCTCCTTGTTAACTCTTTCTTCTCATTACATCCTTCTTTCCCTTACCTCCCTCTTCTCACTACATACTTCTCATTGTTACATCCTTCTTCTCATTATATCCTTATTTCCCTTACCTCCTCCTTCTCATTACATCCTTCTTTCCCTTACCTCCCCCTTCTCATTACATCCTTATTTCCCTTACCCCCACCCTTTCTCATTAATCCTTCTCCTTGTTAAATCTTTCTTCTCATTACATCCTTCTTTCCCTTACCTTTCCCTTCTCATCACATCCATCTCCTTGTTACATCCTTCTTCTCATTACATCCTTCTCCTTATTACATCCTTCTCCTTGTTATGTCCTTCAGCTCATTACATCCTTCTCTTCATTCTTTTCCTCACTGCCCTCTTCTCTTCATGACATGACACTGATAATTGTCAGTGTTTGGATGTACTGACTGTGAGCCTGGTTGTGTTCATCAGCATTTACTGAACTTCTCTGTTAGGTCTTTCAATGTTTCTTGTTTTCTCTTGGACAGGTTACACAAATGTCGACTGCTCAGTGAAAATGTCGAACTGTGATCCGAACCCTTGTCAGAATAATGCCACTTGTCAAGATGTCATTGTTAGTGACACTGATGATGGAGACAGGCTAAGCTTCACTTGCCAGTGTGTGCCAGGTTTCACAGGTAAGTGCTATCAATCTGATTGTGTTAGAACCTTCAGGCAGATATTTTTGTTTTTAGTATTCCAGAGTTCCTTGACTTATCTGGATCTGAATATAAAAATGATTGGAAAACTATCAAACATTAAAAACCAGCAGGGAGGAAAAAGAATTTAATAAAATCAGTTGCACAGAGATAATAAATATGTAGGCCATCAGGCAACAGGGTGATATTTAGCACAAGATGTGCCACGTAGAGTGAGAATGGTGTTCTCACCGGACCCTGACATTTTTATGAAATCTAGATTAATTATTGTCTTTGGGGACAGAAACAGCTGTGCTAGCATAGAAGTCTGCTTACAGACAATTTGTTTGTTCTTGTCCACAGAAGTCTGTTTACAGATGATTTGTCTGTTCTTGTGCACAGAAGTCTGTTTACAGACTATTTGTCTGTTCTTGTGCACAGAAGTCTGCTTACAGACAATTTGTCTGTTCTTGTCCACAGAAGTCTGCTTTTAGACAATTTGTCTGTTCATGTCCACAGAAGTCTGCTTACAGACAATTTGTATGTTCTTGTCCACAGAAGTCTGCTTACAGACAATTTTTCTGTTCTTGTGCACAGAAGTCTGCTTACAGACAATTTTTCTGTTCTTGTGCACAAAAGTCTGCTTACAGACAATTTGTCTGTTCTTGTCCACAGAAGTCTGCTTTCAGACAATTTGTCTGTTCATGTCCACAGAAGTCTGCTTACAGACAATTTGTATGTTCTTGTGCACAGAAGTCTGCTTACAGATGATTTGTCTGTTCTTGTGCACAGAAGTCTGCTTACAGACAATTTTCTGTTATTGTCCACAGAAGTCTGCTTACAGACAATTTGTCTGTTTTTGTGCACAGAAGTCTGCTTACAGACAATTTTTCTGTTCTTGTCCACAGAAGTCTGCTTACAGACAATGTGTCTGTTCTTGTGCACAGACCTAAATACTGGACATTACAAGATGTGACTGCAGACTGTATAGACAGTACAGACATGGTTGCTTGGAAACATGTTTAAAAGTAAACACATGAGAGAAATATAGAGCTGCAGACATCTGGTTGATAAATTTGCAAACAAAAGTAGCTTTTCAACACTTTGGACATAATAGTTATTTATAACTGAAATCTGTGACAAGCAAGTATTCTGTAACTGAAATCTGTGACAAACAAGTATTCTATAACTGAAATCTGTGACAAACAAGTATTCTGTAACTGAAATCTGTGACAAACAAGTATTCTGTAACTGAAATCTGTGACAAACAAGTATTCTGTAACTGAAATCTGTGACAAACAAGTATTCTATAACTGAAATCTGTGACAAACAAGTATTCTATAACTGAAATCTGTGACAAACAAGTATTCTGTAACTGAAATCTGTGACAAGCAATTATTCTTGACTTTTGCTACAGGGCAGCTGTGTGAGGCCAACTTGGACGAATGCACAATTCTGAAACCTTGTGTAAACAATGCAACCTGCCGGGATGGCATTAATGGATACCTCTGTGAGTGTCTGCCAGGCTGGTCAGGTCCCAAGTGTGAAGTAAACATTGATGATTGTCTGTCGACACCCTGCCAGAATGGAGGTAACTGTACGGACTTGGTCAATGGATATAGCTGTACCTGTGATTTCGGCTATGCAGGTAAATGCAGGTTCCCTACCCCAGGTACTAGTTGTTAATTTTTGTTTGAAGTAGTTTCCTTGCATGTCTATCATAAAACTAACATTTATTCTTCTCAATGAAATCTATGCTTTACTTGAAAATAAAAAAAAATAAAAAAATAAAAATTTTACTACATGTTGTTGGTTACGCTTCTGTGGTATTTATTCATAAGCTTTCATGATACACTTGCTTCGTGGGTTGAAGGTCATAAGTTCAAATCTTGATTAGGCCAGATTTTTGTTTTCAGGAATAACCTTGGCTTCCAGTCTAAAATGGGTGCCAGGTAAAGTTTGGGGAAGTAAAGGTGGCTGATGTTATGTTGACCACATCACCAATCGCCAGTTGGTCTCTAAAATATATGTTTAGCATCGTATACTCAATCTATAACTTAATAACCCACAACTTAATCACACACAAATTAAATTTTCATTGCATTTAATTTAATGACATATGATTAATAACACACAGCGTAACACAAATAGTTAATGACAGAAATTAATGGTATTCTACATTGTAATTATGGTTTGGTTTAGTTATTTATGAAAACCTGGACTCATGATGCTGTCTCTGCCAATGTAGGTGCTACATGTTCTACTGAAGTCAATGAGTGCAGTTATCAGCCATGTCGGAACAATGCTACCTGTGTCGATAACCCCACAGGATTTACTTGCCAGTGCCAGCCAGGTTTTACAGGTTTGTGGAGTTAAGTTCATTTTATTATTTGAAATGATTATTTTTGATCAGTAGCAGGTTGAGTTATGACCTGGCACAGAAAGCATGTTCAAGCAGCAGTTTGTATATGGCAAAGTCTGGTCCATTCATTCACAGTGTAAGAAGACAAACTATAGATATATGCCTATAAAATGCAAATACTTTCACAGATCTTAAAAAAATAAATGAACAAATGCTTACTCAATTCAGGTAACACTTTGTGAGAAGACATTTAATAGATTAAATTTACACTATGTTTGGGAAACACACTTTAAACTTTAAAGTTACACATTGTATGTGAGAAGTCCTTTATGAGATTCATATTAAATGTTGTAAAAGTACTTTATAAAACTCATCTTACACTATGTGAGAAGTACTTTATGAGATTCATCTAACACTTTGTTTGACAGAAGCCTTTTATGAGATTCATCTTACAGTATGTTTGTCAGAAACAATTTGTCGAACTATTGTTACACTGTGTTTCTAAGAAGCACATTATGTAATCACAGTAAGATGTTTGTGAGAATCACTTTATGATATTTATGTTCTATGTTTGTGAGAATCACTTTATGATATTTATGTTCCATGTTAGTGAGAATCACTTTATGATATTTGTGTTCCATGTTTGTGAGAATCACTTTATGATATTTGTGTTCCATGTTTGTGAGAATCACTTTATGATATTTGTGTTCCATGTTTGTGAGAATCACTTTATGATATTTATGTTCCATGTTTGTGAGAATCACTTTATGATATTTGTGTTCCATGTTTGTGAGAATCACTTTAGGATATTTGTATTCCATGTTTGTGAGAATCACTTTATGATATTTGTGTTCCATGTTGGTGAGAATCACTTTATGATATTTATGTTCCATGTTTGTGAGAATCACTCTATGATATTTGTGTTCCATATTTGTGAGAATCACTTTATGATATTTGTGTTCCATGTTAGTGATAATCACTTTATGATATTTGTGTTTCATATTTGTGGAAATCACTTTATGATATTTGTGTTTCATATTTGTGGATATCACTTTATGATATTTGTGTTTCATATTTGTGGAAATCACTTTATGATATTTGTGTTTCATGTTTGTGAGAATCACTTTATGATATTTATGTTCTATGTTTGTGAGAATCACTTTATCATATTTATGTTCTATGTTTGTGAGAATCACTTTATGATATTTATGTTCTATGTTTGTAAGAATCACTTTATACGTGTGTTCCATATTTGTGAGAATCCCTTTATGATATTTGTGTTCTATGTTTGTGAGAATAACTTTATGATATTTGTGTTCTATGTTTGTGAGAATCACTTTATGATATTTATGTTCCAGTTTTATGAAAATCACTTTATGAGACTCATGTTACACCTATTTTAAGAGAAGCACTTTATGAGACATGTTACACCTATTTTAAGAGAAGCACTTTATGAGACTTGTTACACCTATTTTAAGAGAAGCACTTTATGAGACATGTTACACCTATTTTAAGAGAAGCACTTTATGAGACTCATGTTACACCTATTTTAAGAGAATCACTTTATGAGACTCATGTTACACCTATTCTAAGAGAAGCACTTTATGAGACTCATGTTACACCTATTTTAAGAGAAGCACTTTATGAGACATGTTACACCTATTTTAAGAGAAGCACTTTATGAGACATGTTACACCTATTTTAAGAGAAGCACTTTATGAGACATGTTACACCTATTTTAAGAGAAGCACTTAATGAGACTCATGTTACACCTATTTTAAGAGAATCACTTTATGAGACTCATGTTACACCTATTTTAAGAGAAGCATTTTATGAGACTCATGTTACACCTATTTTAAGAGAAGCACTTTATGAGACTCATGTTACACCTATTTTAAGAGAAGCACTTTATGAGATTACAATTAAACTATATTTATCAGAAGCACTTTATGAGAGAACAGATTCACATTTTTTACTCTTTAAGTCAAAACACAGAGATACAACATACCATCTTCCCCCAAGCATGAGACACAATTTGCCAAAAATGTAGGGTTTGAAAACAATGTGCGTCTTATACGCCAGTATCAATTTGTATCAAATGATTTATAAGAAAATTTCCCTTACAGGGCATCATTTGGGAAGGCGGGTTCTAAGGGCAACATAAAATGGGGAAAAAAATTTATAAACTTTGTGTGTATCTTTGTGCTCATTGGTTTGATTTGTTACATGAAGAATTCCTGTGTCCCATAAGATTCAACCACTTGATGTCAGAAACAAACCTTTAAAGTCGCCATGAGAAACGAATTGAACCAATGGACGAAGTCTGGTTGTCAAATATCTAATCCCAATAGCAAGTAGCGTTTTTATACATGGGATCATCTTAAACTTGGGGAAATATAGTATATCTTAAATACATTGTGACTGAGTGGACCAAATTTCCTAAAATCTCTTCTCCTGTCCAACCTGGCCCATGCTAGGCGTCGCTTGCAGCAAGGACATTGATGAATGTGACCCTGCACCTTGTGCTATGTCTGCTACCTGTGTGGATGGTATCAACACTTTCACCTGTCTTTGTCTGCCTGGTTTTCAAGGTAACCTTTCTTTCTTTCTTTCTTTCTTTCTTTCTTTCTTTCTTTCTTTCTTTCTTTCTTTCTTTCTTTCTTTCTTTCTTTCTTTCTTTCTTTCTTTCTTTCTTTCTTTCTTTCTTTCTTTCTTTCTTTCTTTCTTTCTTTCTTTCTTTCTTTCTTTCTTTCTTTCTTTCTTTCTTTCTTTCTTTCTTTCTTTCTTTCTTTCTTTCTTTCTTTCTTTCTTTCTTTCTTTCTTTCTTTCTTTCTTTCTTTCTTTCTTTCTTTCTTTCTTTTCTTTCTTTCTTTCTTTCTTTCTTTCTTTCTTTCTTTTCTTTCTTTCTTTCTTTCTTTCTTTCTTTCTTTCTTTTCTCTTTCTTCTTTCTTTCTTTCTTTCTTTCTTTCTTTCTTTTCTTTCTTTCTTTCTTTCCTTTCTTTCTTTCTTTCTTTCTTTCTTTTTCTTTCTTTCTTTCTTTCTTTCTTTTTCTTTCTTTCTTTCTTTCTTTCTTCTTTCTTTCTTTTCTTTTTCTTTCTTTCTTTCTTTCTTTCTTCTTTCTTTCTTTCTTTCTTTCTTTCTTTCTTTTTTCTTTCTTTCTTTCTTTCTTTCTTTCTTTCTTTCTTTCTTTCTTTCTTTCTTTCTTTCTTTCTTTCTTTCTTTTCTTTCTTTTCTTTCTTTCTTTCTTTCTTCTTTCTTTCTTTCTTTCTTTCTTTCTTTCTTTCTTTCTTTCTTTCTTTCTTTCTTTCTTTCTTTTGCTTATGTTTTCTTTGATTTATTTTTCTCTTTTGGTTCTGGCACATAAACACTCCGTCAGCTGTGATTGGACAGATTGGCTGTGTCAGCACTTTTGCCTAGAATGTGTAACCTTGAATACTTAGCAGATGTAGTGTCACTAGAACAAGCACTCAGTGCCGTTGTCTCAGCAGAGACTTAATGACACATGTCTGTGGTAGTTGCTGTGTCTTTACTAGAAACAGACTTTAACTCTTCACGTCGCTTCATGATGCTTTTAATACGTGTGTATGCTAGTGCATAAGCTGAAACGGTAGTCTGTCAAATCTTTTCACAAGGGACTGCAATAAACATTGTGTGTGTTTTTAGTTGGCACAGGAGCAGAGCAACTATGGGGTGACCCGTTTGCTAAGAAGCTGAAACTCAGATTACCAGATTACTCTTCCTGACTGTGAATTTGCAATCATGATTTTACCTGCACTTTTAGTTAAACAAAATTTCTAGTTCAGATAGGTAATATTCATATGGAGATAGTTAACTCATTGTACTTGAACATTCTGTCAAACATCAGTACACAGATTTTAAATAGATCAGTTCACAAAATAATTACAAATATCGCAGATTACACATGTGGTTGTAGAAATTCCTGCCTTGAATACTAACCATATAGTTGAACTATTCTGGTTTTCAGGAGCCTTAATTGTTTCAGTCGATGTCGATGCAATCTTTGTAAATTGGAAGATTTTTTTAAAAATACCTATCATAAAACAGCCTAGAATTTTAGTTAGTCAAAAGGGGGGTGTACTTGACACTCTTGAAATAAAGGAAGCAATTGCCAAATGTCCACCCTCTGTGGTCCTATAACATTCTCTGAGTTTCTGGTACTTTCCCTATAGCTGGTGACCTTATCTTGGTTATATTGAATCATGATCTTTTATTACCCTCCTGTCCTATATCTGTTTGTGTATCCAGTATATCAAGTTGTTTCTTTTTTTCTGCAGCCTATTCACCTCTTAAGTTAGTTCTCACACAGTCAGTGTCATCATCTTCTCACACAGTCAGTGTCATCATCATCTCACACAGTCAGTGTCATCATCTTCTCACACAGTCAGTGTCATCATAATCTCACACAGCTAGTGTCATCATCATCTCATATGGCTAGATTCAACATCTCACACAGCTAGTGTCATCATAATCTCACACAGCTAGTGTCATCATCTCACACAACTAGTGTCATCATCTCACACAGCTAGTGTCATCATCTCACACAGCTAGTGTCATCATCTCACACAGCTAGTGTCATCATCTCACACAGCTAGTGTCATCATCTCACACAGCTAGTGTCATCATCTCACACAGCATCTCACACACACAGCTAGTGTCATCATCATCATCTTACACAGCATAGCTAGTCATCATCACCTTACACAGCTAGTGTCATCATCACCTTACACAGCTAGTGTCATCATCTCACAGCAGTGTCTAGTGTAGTGTCATCATCACACAGCTAGTGTCATCATCTCACAGCTAGTGTCATCATCTCACACAGCTAGTGTCATCATCTCACACAGCTAGTGTCATCATCTCACACAGCTAGTGTCATCATCTCACACAGCTAGTGTCATCATCTCACACAGCTAGTGTCATCATCTCACACAGCTAGTGTCATCATCTCACCTTACACAGCTAGTGTCATCATCACCTTACACAGCTAGTGTCATCATCACCTTACACAGCTAGTGTCATCATCACCTTACACAGCTAGTGTCATCATCTCACACAGCTAGTGTCATCATCTCACACAGCTAGTGTCATCATCACCTTACACAGCTAGTGTCATCATCTCACACAGCTAGTGTCATCATCTCACACAGCTAGTGTCATCATCACCTTACACAGCTAGTGTCATCATCTCACACAGCTAGTGTCATCATCATCTTACACAGCTAGTGTCATCATCTCACACAGCTAGTGTCATCATCACCTTACACAGCTAGTGTCATCATCTTACACAGCTAGTGTCATCATCACCTTACACAGCTAGTGTCATCATCACACAAGCTAGTGTCATCATCATCTTACACAGCTAGTGTCATCATCACCTTACACAGCTAGTGTCATCATCACCTTACACAGCTAGTGTCATCATCTCTTACACAGCTAGTGTCATCATCTCACACAGCTAGTGTCATCATCACACAGCTAGTGTCATCATCATCTACACAGCTAGTGTCATCATCATCTTACACAGCTAGTGTCACACACAGCTAGTGTCATCAGTGTCATCATCATCTTACACTAGTGTCACACAGCTAGTGTCATCATCATCTTACACAGCTAGTGTCATCATCTCACACAGCTAGTGTCATCATCACCTTACACAGCTAGTGTCATCATCTCACACAGCTAGTGTCATCATCACAGCTAGTGTCATCATCATCTTACACAGCTAGTGTCATCATCATCTTACACAGCTAGTGTCATCATCACCTTACACAGCTAGTGTCATCATCACCTTACACAGCTAGTGTCATCATCATCTTACACAGCTAGTGTCATCATCACCTTACACAGCTAGTGTCATCATCTTACACAGCTAGTGTCATCATCATCTCACAGCTAGTGTCATCATCATCTTACACAGCTAGTGTCATCATCACCTTACACAGCTAGTGTCATCATCTCACTAGTGTCATCTCACACAGCTAGTGTCATCATCTCACACAGCTAGTGTCACACAGCTAGTGTCATCA